TAGTCATTTATTTCTGTGCCCGAGGCTGAGGTCGACCGGACGAAAGCACTAAAGGACAAAGAACAATGCAGTCGGTTTCTCAATTTTATGAAGGACATAAACTTGTAGAGTGATATATAAAAATATATAAACTTATTAATATTGTGATATGAATGTTCTCTCTCTACGTGTCATAATACACCATGTACAAAGATAATGTTATTGTGTAGATGATGCTAATAACCTTTGTTGTTGATGCGACATAAAATGAACCAATAAACAAACAAACACTTTTAAAGGTCCCGATTGAATTATAATATAGCGCAGTCGTTACAGATATTGTGAGAAAGTATGTTCTATTGTTGCCCCACTAGTCTAAAGCAAGAGAGAGCCACCTCATCCGGTACAATGTGAAAGAAAGAAATGTGCGTTTTCTTTCAAGAAGAAAAGCTGGGAATATGTACATTGACATACATAAAATACATCTGGTTTTATATCGAAAATATTGTTTCAATTGTAAAGAAAAATATTAAAATAATTTTTATATTTCCAAAGTATATTTAGGCAACATATATCATACTTTTAATGTTTTTATTTTCATTCTAATTATTTTATATTTATTTTAAAATAATTAATATATGTAATGACAATATCTGTAAAAATTCGTATTAGATGAAACATTAGAAAAGTATTTGTTAATTTACAAGAGAATGGGCGACCTGTGCTCTCTCCGCCTTCGAGTGACATCCGTCTGGGAGGGGTCAAACCACGCACGATTAAATAACCCTAATGAAAATAATGGAGTTAACTTGAAATTGAAAGTCTTGCGAACCTGTTTGCGAGCGTTCCTCACATCATCGCCTTTGTTTGGCTGCCGCAATGAGCTTCCAGGAGACACCGGAAACGGGGCAGACGCCGTTTGAGATTTGAAGCATTGTGAACATTTTGACACTCTGCAGCTTTGTTCTTCAACACACACGGAATGCGCTGTGATTTCAAGGGATTTACGAATACTTGCTTCATTTGTCACCAAACACGGCGACGTTGGTCTTGGATTCTGTACATGGTTTTCGTTAAATCTGGTGTTCTTCATATTTTTCATACTGCAACAGAAACCAATAAACTCACAAGATAATACTTGCTGAAAAATATAGATTGGTTTTTTATCTTAAACAGATTTTTACAACCGAATATGTAAACCTTTGTTTCATCAAGGCGTTAAAACGTTATCTGAAATACTTTTAGAATATAGTTACAAGAGTAAGCACTTAATTACAGAGAGCTGAAATATTACGATACATGAATCAATTTGTGTGGATTGAAATCAACCTGAAAACAAATAAAACACGGAGCTACTTGGCTGTCTGGGAGACGCCGCATCCTAGGAATTTCGCCCTCAGAAAGGTCACAGATTGGCGGCCGGAACGTTGGCACCTGTGCAGACACTACTGACTCCGGCCGCGCAAGCCTACGCTCTGCAGTATAAAAAAATAGTTTTGGGCTTGAAGGCTTACAGTATCTAAATCTTCCCATGGGCAAATTTAATAATTACATATTTAATTAATAATTACATTTTATTGAATTTGAGAGAGAAATGATATATTCAGCCTTTATTAGTTTGAACATTTTAATACAAAACCCCTTTTCTCTTCAGCACTATATTTTATCTAATTGTTTGCATTTTCTGAAAAGTAGTAGTTCATTTTGAATGGTTCTCATGTCTTATTTTCACAACATTTAAACCTCTTTGCATCTTGAATTCAACGTCTAGACAAATGATTACAAAAAACTATGCCACTTGGAAATTTCTTATCTCCAACAATGTTATAATTTTATTGACGACTTAATAATACAGCTCCAAGAATTATATGTTGGAGTAATTTCATTTTATCAGCTTTAGTGTCATATGCACTTTACACAATAATCTGCATCTAAATCAATATCTTAACATGATATAAAATTATTCTTAAAACCAGCTAATAGTTTGGTTAGTAAAAATATATTATGATGAGAAAGATAATAAGGAGCAATAGGAGTCAATGATTATGATTTCTGTCCAGTTAAGTATAAAGCTTTATACAGTGTTAGAGAGAGCCAAACTGCTGATCTTGTTAAATTCTCAGCTATCCGGAAGACGCCGCGTCGTTGGCTGGGAGGGCGACGTTTCGCCTGACATGTTGCCCTCTTCCTCAGGGCTTTTTTTTCGACGTAGCTGAAGATCGGTGTGGTGATTCGATTGCATCATGATCGTATTGAGAACAGAGGATACTTGATCTCTACTACGAAATTGCAGTGCATATATATATATATATATATATATATATATATATATATATATATATATAGTGACGTACCTGCTAAGTGGTACTGTTCACGACAATAATTTTGAAGGGACAGGTGTTTTTGCTCGTGAATGGACCTCTAGGGTTTGGCAAAAGCATTGCAAGAAGAACTCCACTATCAATCATTTACAATCAAGTGATTTTTCGTTTTGGTACCACAACATGCAAGTGAGCTCAAATTTACGCGATACCACGATAAGTTTCACGAATCGGTTGTTCCTTCTTGGATGTTCCCCCGGCGGCGGCGGCCGCGGCCGCGTCGGCAGCCTTCGGCTCGCCTCGGAGCCCGTCGGGTGGTCAACCTCCCCTCGGAGGCCCGCGCCTTTCCCCAGCTCTTCGCAACGGCTACCTGTGGCACCTGGGCTCCAGACCCCGGTCGTTGTGAGGATAAAACAAATCGGGTGTGTGATACCCACTATCACTGTCCGTCGGCCTTATGTTTTTTATTCCAGTTCTCCCTGGCTTCACAACTTCTCAGTTCAGTTTTATTTACTATCACACACTTACGCACGTTGTCACCAACTATTACCATCACCGGCCACGCGGTCTGTTAGTTTCTTTATACTATCACAGTTTCTAGCACTTATCTTACTTCATCACGTTCACATAATTGCCTACCAGGCACTAGTAGGCTTGGTTTAACTCTTAAATACTGTTTATTCCGCAATTTAATTTCAATTTGCTACCTACTCGTCAGACGCGTCCAAGCCCTTCCGCTCTCCTTCAAGTGTTTCCCCGCACTGTCGGCTTCGCTGCCTTCTCGTGCTTTCTCGCCTCTGGTGTTGTCCCTTGCTCGCCTGACCGATTCCCTGATTTTTCCGTTGCTCGCCGCCGTAACTACGCTAATCAGGATGGGTGTATTTGACCAGAAAATGTGTCGCGTTTTAATATAGAAACGCTCCGCGTATCAATATATATTGAAACGAAGAACGTTTCTGTATTGTAATAATCAAAGTTTATCAATAATTATAATTAAAATAAGTTGTAACGTATTAGCCACCGTGCCTCATGGCATCTATTTGGGGACGCTTGGTTGCGGATTAGTCTCGCCACAGGA